GGCAAAATGTTTAATTTGCCAACAAAGTGAGGATCCACCTCCCACAGTTAGCTCACAAAACCCTTAAGCTCTTTGGAGGTCACTGAAAATGTACAGCAAAGCTCTAAAATTTCCCTTATCAATTACTTAGACATTGCAAGCCCTCCTCCAAAGGGAAAATGCAAAAGGGAATCCTGGCCCAAGGTTTAATGGGAATCCTGAGCGAGGTTTTGAAAGGGTCGAGGAGAGGGAAGGAATGTGGAAGAGCAAAGGAAAAAGGCATTTTGCACAGTGGGGATTTAAAAAGATGAATTGTAAGGTGTGATTTCCTAAACAGAGCTCTTCAAATGCATCCTGAAGGATGGAAGGCACAACAACTAGGAAAATTTCTAAGAGCTGGGTAACTGTTGAATTCCTGTCCCAGTGAATGAATCCATGGGGAAAGCCATGCCAAGGCTCTGGCAAACAGCTCCTACAACTGTGTTATTAAATGTTAATCATCTACTCCAGTCAGCGCTCGTGGACCTGTCTGGGAAGCTCACTGGGATGGAAAACGTGGAGGAAGGCAGATCTTGTAAAGATCCTGATCTCCAAAAAAAAGCTGAAGCCAGATGACCTCCCACAACACAGTGAAGATTAAGGCACGAGTCTTTCACCAGCAGGATGGAGAAGAGCTCTGGCACAGAACATCAGAGCCAGCAGACACTCACAGCTCCAAGGAGAAGTCCTTATGGACAGACCAAAGTCTCAGATTAAAGCTCAAAAGCCCCACAACTCCCAGAAATCTCTTGTAGTTTATCAATTTCTCCTATCCAAAGGAAAGGGGGGCTGTTTTAAAATCCCTTCTTGCCAAAAAAAAACCCTTGCATGTTAGGAAGGGCACCCCATGGATTCCAACACGGAGCCAAAGGCTGTTCTTAAACGTGAACGGATAACTGAAGAGAGGCACAACTTCCTTGCTGGGCTCTGGACTGCTGGAATATGAGATGGAGGAAAAAGAAGGGAGGAGGAGGAAAAAAGAAGGGAGGAGGAGGAGGAAAGATGAAGGGAGGAGGAGGAGGAAAAAGAAGGGAGGAGGAGGAAGAAAAACGAAGGGAGGAGGAGGAGGAGGAAAAAGAAGGGAGGAGGAAAAAGAAGGGAGGAGGAAAAAGAAGGGAGGAGGAAAAAGGAGGGAGGAGGAAAAAGAAGGGAGGAGGAAAAAGAAGGGAGGAGGAAAAAGAAGGGAGGAGGAAAAAGAAGGGAGGAGGAAGAGGAGGAAAAAGAAGGGAGGAGGAAGAGGAGGAAAAAGAAGGGAGGAGGAAGAGGAGGAAAAAGAAGGGAGGAGGAGGAAAAAGAAGGGAGGAGGAGGAGGAAAAACGAAGGGAAGAGGAGGAGGAGGAAAAAGAAGGGAGGAGGAAAAAGAAGGGAGGAGGAGGAGGAAAAAGAAGGGAGGAGGAGGAAGAAAAAGAAGGGAGGAGGAGGAGGAGGAAAAAGAAGGGAGGAGGAGAAGGAAAAAGAAGGGAGGAGGAGGAGAAGGAAAAAGAAGGGAGGAGGAGGAGAAGGAAAAATAAGGGAGGAAGAGGAGAAGGAAAAAGAAGGGAGGAGGAGGAGGAGGAAAAACAAGGGAGGAGGAGGAGGAGGAAAAACAAGGGAGGAGGAGGAAAAAGAAAGGAGGAGGAGGAGGAGGAAAAAAGAAAGGAGGAGGAGGAGGAAAAAGCACAATTTCTGAGCAGCGAGTGCACTGTGCAAAAGCACAGATGCACCCACCTGCACAGAAGGGTTGAAGGGGAGGGAAGGTGATGATAAATTTCATGTATTTGCAGCCTGCTGTGCAATGCCTGCTGAGATAAATCACCTCAGGGTAAGCAGAGACATGGGCTTGGTGCTTCACTGCCAGCTTGGTGCATGAAAGCGCTTCATCCCTGCTTTGACATGGCATGGAAAAGGACAGGGCTACCCAGGAGCGGGTCCTGCTGGAGCCACTGCTGCTCCCAGACACCGGGGCTTGGAGCCCAGGGGGAATTGAGAGATGCTTCTACACCAGGGCTCATTTTCTTGGGCAAGAAGGTGACATTCAGAACCACTAAGATTCAAAAAAGAAAAATTATTTCATTTCAAAAAAAATGTGTGCCTCTGTCTCCTAGCTGATGAAGGGACAAGAATTCACCTCCTCCCCAAGACAACCTTAGATGTAAGACTTCTCTTTCAACATGAAATAAAGAGCCTATCCCCATCCCTCTGTATTGCACTGCTGTTTTCAAGGAAAACAAAGAAGGAACACACATGCAGCACATGATTCAAAAATCACTTTTATTTTAGTTGATCCCAGCTTTCTGAAACGCACAAGCAGATGAGATTTGCTCCACGAGAGGCATCACATTACTGTATTAATAAATCTTAAGTGCAAAACATGCAGAGGATGTAGCCTCAGGCTAAGTAGTGGCATTTAAATCACATTATTTAAGAACAAAAATATCTTGACCATTGTGAGAGTTAACAAGCAAACCTTTCAACTGAAATATTCAATTCTGATCTCATTTTTCAGTAGTAACTTCTTATCTTTCTAATGAAATTAAAATGAAGCTCATTTTCCAGTGCTAATTTGAAATAATCCCTAACCAGGAGTGCTCTGCACTTGCTAACATCTATTTTAAAAGCCACTGAATTTATTCAGAGTAGAGACTATCTGGAATAAGAGATTTAAAATTTGGGGGGAGAAAAATAAACCCAGCATTTTTTATTTATTACCTTTCCACTCGCATTTCCGTCCAACACAAACTACTGACAGAAACAGAAATCTGGTTTTGAAAGCATAAAATCAGGACTCCTTAAAACTTCTGACAACAAAGCACACCCAGATGTTTCAAAAGGAAATAGCAAAGCTAAACTTTTGATAGAAGCACAAGTACAGAACCATTCATTGTGAATTAAGCTAGGGCTTTTAACTCTCTTCACAATTTTCAACCCAAACAATAAAAACATTTCCTTTCAACAAATGCTTCCTTAGTGCTTTACGGTGTTAAAACAAAGCACCTATTTTTGTGTCTCGGGAAACTTCCAAAAGAATCTGCCAGCCTAGAAATCCATCCTAGAAGAGGACAACATGAAAATGTCCTACATTTGTCGCTCAGCCGGACTCGTCCTTCCGTGCTGCAGCCTCTACCAGAGGCTGGCTCGTTTTCCAAGCACTCCAAGCACCTCAAGGCACAGCCCTGTCCTTCCCCTCTCCTTTTCCCCCCATCCTGGCACCAGCCAGCTGGCAGAACCACGCCGGCAGCGTGGATTTGCTCAACGCCTCCCACCCACCGCCACTTGCAGGGCGACACCAGCACGTCTCCTCGTGGCCCACAGCTCCGAGGAAATCACCTGGGTTTTCCTCTTTCTGAGCAAAGGGAGCTGACAACTCCCTGACAGGAGAAGCCCAAGGGAGGAGGCAGAACTTGGGCAGCGTTACCAACGCCGGCAGTGCCTGCATCGCTGCGCTCAAAGGTGGCATTTATGCACCCAGGGTTTTCCAAGTGACTTCAGAGACTTCTGCAGCAAACAGAATCCCTACAATAACCCAGGAGCAGCTCACCTACAGCCACTTCCACGTGGAATCACAGCACAGCTTGGGAGACACCTAAAGACCATCCACTCCCACCTCCTGCCACGGGCAAGGGCACCTCTCCCAATCCCAGGTTGCTCCAAGCCCTGTCCAGCCTGGCCTTGGACACTTCCAGGGATCCAGGGGCAGCCACAGCTTCTCTGGGAAACCTGAGCCAGGGCTTGCACACCCTCACAGCCAAGAATTTCTTTCTGATATCCAATCTAAACCTACCCCCTCTCCGTCGGTTTGAATCCACTCCCCTCTGTCCTGTCACTCTATCCCTTGGAAACAGCCTCTCTCCATCTTTTATGCTCCCTTCAGGCACTGGAAGGCCACACATAGGTCACCCCAAAGCTTCTCCTCTCCAGGCTGGAAAATCCTAATTCTCTCAGCCTCTCCTCATGGAAGAGGTGGCTCCATCCCCCTCATCATCCTGGCCTCCTCTGCACCAAACACGGATTGAAATGCTGACTCTAACAGGAGACGCTGAAAGGAAACAGTGTTTCCAAGCGCCATCTAAAACACAACAAAAAGTTGCTACAGGATTCTTTTGAGGGCTTGTCAAGACCCTCCAGAGAGCATCATTGAGAGGAGCAAACACATTTAGTCTGCCCCAACTCCCTCCCGAGCCACCCACCAAAAACAACCCCTTCCAGCCATTTTTCCCTACGTGCCCTTCTTGGAGCATAAAAACTTCCCGGGCCTGGAGTCCACCTTGGAAGGCCAAAGGAGCCACCAGCTGTTTCCACAGTGCCACTGGTGCGGAGCACGTATCCACTTCTGCCCCGGGAGAAACAAAACCCCCGACAGCTGCTCCCTCCCAGCCTCGGCTAGCAAATCCCTGAGCCAGCCTGAGGTGGGACTGCAAGCAGATCCAGAAGCATTCCAGAGACACAAAGTAGCTCAGCCACCTCCTTTTAGCCCAGAGTACCCGAGCAAGGCAGACAAGTGCTACCCAGCAAAACACCGCTCATGAATTCTTAAAAAGCTCTGATTCTTGTACCAAGTAACTCATGGGTTACGTTTCTAGAGACACCAGACAGGAAAATGTGTTGGGTTTGTAAGGATGAGACAGGGTACAGCAGACTCACCGTGATCAGCTGAGGGAAAAAAGCCTTTAGCTGTTGTCATTAATAGCTCATTAATTCAGGAAAAGAAACACAGAACACAGCCTGGCCCTACACTGATGTTTTACAAAGCACCACCTCCATCCTGCCTGGGACTGCCCGCCCCCTCGCATCTTTTCACCCACTCAAGCCCCAGTCAGACTGGCTGGGCCCAAAGGCCCAGAGAGAATTCCCAGCCTCTCCAAGGAGAGAATTTTCCAGCAGACTGGAAGCTGACAGACCTGTCACCCCTGTCACAGGGGTGACAAAAAGCAGAAACTGGAGTCAAGTGGAACAGCACCCTCGCAAACCCTTCCCCCAGCACAAACGTGATCAAGCTCACCTACCTCAAACAAGAAGCCGTGGTAGACACAGGCACCTGAGGGACCAAAACAAAAATAAACCTGGTTAGAAACGAGTAACAGCAGCAGCACAGCCTCCAGTGAACCTGCTCTGTCACACCACCAAAACACATTTGGGTAGCCACACAAAATGCAGTTTTGGGGCAGCTGGGCAACCTCTGGATAAGGGACAGGACCTCTGGCCCAGTCAGGCTCAAATGAGGCTCAAACGAGGCAGAGACAAAAGGGGGGAACCTGCTAAAATAACTTTCCTCATCAAAGGAACTCCAAGATGAAAAGGAAAGAGACCACGGGAAAGGCTGCCTCGAGGGACCACCCGGAAAAGTCAGAATTTCCTCCTCAAAGAGCGGAGATTCCCCGAGAAATGCAGGTTAGACAAATCTGTAGAGAAAACCTGGGAGCTACACTTGTCGGAATCAAGAGCTCCTCCTTTGAGCTCATCTTCAGCTCAGCTGCAAGAGGCTGTGGAGGCATCATGGGGAATTATTTTCCCTTGCCGGGAAGATGAGCCACGGGAGCCCAGTCACACTTCTCTCAAACTCAGCAAATAGCTGTTCTTTAGGCAAGAGAATATAATTTCAAGGCTCACCATCCAGCTGCACCTCAAAATTCAATGCAAACCACAAGGTCACACATTGCTGGAAGGCACAAGGGGGAAAAAAACCCCAGAAAACAACAAAAACTTAGTATCATTTAGTTAACACCAGTACAACCCATCTGTTTTATCTCTCCAGGGCTGGCTGCCTTTTCTTTTTAGCTCACTGATAGCTATAGTTCCCTAAAACACCAGTGTGCTCATCCCCTCCGGGGCCAGAGCAGGGAATCGGGACCATGTAGGACCAGAAAGCAAACTCACACAAGTCTGATCCTCCTTCCCCAACGAGGGCAAAGACCCATCTCCCTCCGTTACCAAGAGATACTGAGATACAACCCAACTTGCCAGGACCTGGAAAATCCTTAGTTACAAACAAATTTCACTTTTATTCCCGATGATGAGGGAGCCAAAGACACTACAGACAGGTTAATTGAGGCTGCCGTGCAACAGCACACTGATTTTCCAAGCAACTCCAAGTCCTAGCTGTGATCGACACCTGTTGCAAAGCACACCTGAAAAGCATTCTGCAAATTATGACTTGTACGTGCTCGAGCACCTGATAGAAGAAACCCCCAGACTCCCTGCTGTGGTATTTTTGTGGGGGACTTCTTGGATGCAATGCAGTTTGCTGGTTTGAGAGCTTTTATTTTTGGTACAAGTCAGGTCTGTCAGAGCGCTACCCAACGAGTTAACATCCCAAATCCCCACCGAGCAGCTGCTCAGCTCGCACACACACATCGCTGATTTTAGCTGCTGTTATTCACTAAGACAGCTATGCCAAACGGGAATCACGCTGGGAAGCAGGGTTTGCCCAGAGCGCCACTTCGGAAACCAACAACCTACAGCCGAAGGACAGGCTGGAGAACGACCCAAGAGCACGATCGCAGCCAGTCCGCACTCCCAAACTCCCAATTCCATCATTGTGGCTGCCGGGCAGCCTGTCCAGCGCGCCCAGACAAAACCCAGCGCCCGCTGTCCCCCCCTCCGAGCGCTCCCACCGCGACATCCCCACACGCCAACTCGGACCCAGCCGCCTCCTCCTAGCACGAGAAAGAGAGGATGCCTGCTGCCGGCTCCCCTCACGCTTCCCGGGCACCGAGCGGCTCCCACCGCCGCATTCCCGAGCCCTCCCCACGGCCAGCACCGCCCGCGGGGTGTGTG